ACTAACGTGATCTCCCTCCCACACCAATCATGTTCCATTTGGCTTAGTGTGCTTTTTTCCCTCCCATCAACAGTTGCTGATAGATTCTGGCTGTTTTTTGTTAATACTGGAGGTCTTTCCAGCCAGTCAAGAGCAGATTTTTCCAGTTCAATAAGGATACTGGTGTTCTCTCTGCAACAACCCTGCAGTGACTCTTCTGTTTGTATGCCAGCTAGCACATGATTCCACTGTTAAGATCAGACCACTACACCTCGAGGTTCCTTACTGAGTTATCAGGGCCAGAGCTGTTGCAGTGTTCACCTGTACCCATCTCTAAATACTCTTTCTTTTGGCTGGTTGAAGCAGGCTGTATGCTGTGTTGGGGAGTCCTTCTGTGTGTTTTTTCTTGGATATGTTTTTGTTACAGGAGCATCTGCTTGGGCACTGGAAAATAGAGGATCCCTCCTCGTCTCTTATCTTGGGCTTTAGTTTGTGTGGTTGGGCTGTGTTTTCCTTTACAGCAGGCTGGGGATGCGAAGACCCTCCTTTTTGCCTGGGTCTGTATTTACATTTGTTCTGGCAACTGGGTATTCTTTGTTACTGAAAATGCCAGTTAATTCTCTCTTTGGCTTCTTCTTTCTGCTCGACCTAGAATGTTACTGACATCAGTATAGGGGATGGGCCAATGCACTGAACAAGCCCTTGCCTTTTCCCAAGGCTTTCTCCTTTGGTACCCATTTTAGGAGACTCTCTCTATGGATGCTTCTCTGCAGCTCCGCCAACAGGGGCATAGTATTTTCAGCAGTAGCTGGGCTATAGGGATCTTCAGTTTTAGTGATTTGGTCATTGAGCTGTTTCTTTTGTTTTTAGGTACAAAGTAGTAAACTCCGTAAATAACCTTACCTTCCCGTTAACGATAAAAACATGTTGCACAGGCTACAATTTGAACAGCAAGTGTATCTGCTTGATTAGAGATGAAGTGCATATGGATCGATGTGTTTCAGCCCAAAAGGGGCTTCTTCAAGATCCACTTCGTTATATACTTGTGTAGCTAGTAAACAATATAATGATCAAAAAATGAATACATACAAAGAACATAAATCAATAAACATACACAAAAAGATACAACAGTATTAGATATAAATTAGAGAAGATGGATGCTGTTTAGTTTGCGCTATGTCCAGGGTCATTGTTGCCCCTTATGGAGTAATAAATATTTTATGCCTTTTTTTTTTTGATCATTTATACTGATTTTTTTTTGTGGGGTATGTTTTCTGACTACATGGGGCTTTTTTTTTTTTTTGAGTTCTAGCTGAGATGTCTTTCTACTTGTTTTCCAGTTGATTGACTCACTCTGTATTGGGATAACCAGAAGATTAATACTTATGGGATACAGTTATATGGCTATATGTTAATACAATTTACACCTTGAGACATCTATTTTATTTTTTTGTATTCTTTATTGGAGTGGCGTCCCTACGGGATATTCAAGCTTGCTCCCTTGTATAACTTTAAGTCCCTTTTGAAGTAATTTACATGATATGAGCATCTTCTGCTGTTGTGGCCATGCATCCTTGCTATCTTGATATAGTATATTTGTTCATCTTTTGCTGTGGGTAAGCATAGAATTTTTTTTTTCTCTGTGACACTTTTATAGATTTTTTTTTTTTTGTGGATAAGTTTTTTTTTTTTTACTTCATACCCTTATTTTATGTCTTACTGTCCTCCCAGACTGATGTCATGGGCTCTCCTTTTGAGGTGACACCCCCCCCCCTTCTTTGGGGCGAAACACGTTGATCCATATGCACTTTGTCTCTTCTAATCAAGCAGACACATTTGCTGTTCATTTTGTAGCTTGTACAACATGTTTTTATCAAGAGGTTCACAAGTATAACCCATTTTTAAAATTTGTATAAAATACTAAAAAATAAATTTTATAGATATTTTTTGCTTCTTTGTGTTTGCTTGCACCTTTCAAAGCCCCATTTTTCCTTGGTTTCCCCCCAAAAGGAAGGTAAGGTTACTTACGAAGTTTGCTAATTTGTACTTATTGTCTTTTGTGGATGGCGCTTATATTGTGTTAATGACAAAGCCCTCCACCAATTTTTGTTTTCTTTTGTTTTTTCTCTTGTGGCTTAGAACTATTTATTTGCTTAGCTGGTCAATGTATATTTCTGTAGTGGGGTAAGCCCAATATTGCCACAGTACAGCAGCTTCTGGTGCCAAATGCAATGGCGGGTAACTGGGCTGATCTAGCTGCAATCGTCAGAAGCAGCAAAAATTATTTTGGGTTGTATGTATATGTGTGTATATGTATATATGTGTATATGTATATATGTGTGTGTGTGTGTGTGTGTGTATATATATATATATATATATATATATATATATATATATATATATGTGTGTTTATGTATGTATATATATATATATACACAACCCAAAATAATTTTTCCTGCTTCTGACGATCACAGCAATACCACGTGTGTATGTTGTTTGTACCCGTAGTACAGCCCAGAAACAATAGTGCACAATTTGCTTTTTTTTTATCCTGCTGCGAACTGACAATGATACTAATTTTAAACATTAAAAAAAAACCCTGACCAAATAAAAAAACTAAACTGACCCTTAACCCTGACCTAGATCAAACCTTGATCTATGTGTTTTTGTTTATTTTTTTATTATTATTTTTTACACTTTTTTTCTCTCTCTCCTCCATTCAGAGAGAAAACAAGGAGGGCGGGCTTCACAATGACTGATCACTGTGATAGCCAATCAGATGCTATCACAGCAATCAGGTGACCCGGAATCCAGAGTTACAGGTCCCGATCGTTAGAAGCGGCGCGCTCCCATCCGAAAGACAGGTATGCAAAAAGAGGCCCCATGGAAAAAAGCCCAATTCTGTGAGGCCATTAATTTGCGTGTGGTCTGCATCAAGGGGTTAGTCCAGTGGGAAAACAAAAAATGATGTAAACCTGCTGAATAAAGATGGAGGCACATCACTTTGTGCATCAGATCACAAGATTTGCACTCTTTTAACCTATTAGGGTTATTCTTCAACCTGGATTAACGTTCATCCTTCTGCTCTGTGAAGGCGTCGGAATGACGAAACATGTAGAGTGGAGCTTCGGACTAACGTCCCTATGTTCTGTGTGAGGCTAGCGTCTCTGCTTTCTGTGATTTTAAACTAAATGTGTTTGTTGCTAGTGTCGGCTATGACACTGTTCCATGTGAGTGGATTATGATGAGTTTTTATAAATAAACGTGTCGTACGGTATCACACGATCGTTTGTTTTTTTCTTTTCTTTTCTGAGCCTGTGTACGAAGTTCTTGGAATTCGGTCTGGAAGTTTTCGTTGCTGAGTTTATAGATTTGCCGAGTATTGCTCCCAGAGAGGATAAATAAGTGTCTAGATATCTGAGTCTCCCTAACTTGTAATATACTATATCAACAAGCTGAGAGAGGGATAATTTGAAAAGCTGGTCACCGCTGAGTCTGCCTGCAGAGTATTGCTCTCAGAGCAAACAAGTGCAATTGCTGGTTTATAGTTTAATTGGCAATTTGCTCTGGTGAGTTTATTCATTTCTGTTGGTAGTGGATTTGCACAAAATTGTTCTTATGGTGATAGACATTTTTCACTGCTGATGATGAAAAAGAAAATTCTTAAGGACATTTTTTTGGTCATATATTTTTTCCACTGTTTTATCACTGTTTGATTTGAATTTTTAATTTTGATAGCTGCTTGTGTTCATTACATGTGAACACCTTTGGTGCTATTTTCATTTATATTTTTTTCTCAATAAGTAACAAATGCCAAATTTGATTCCCTGACAAAACTGTACGATGGATCTCTCTACTCAAACATATATAAATTAATTAAATGTTATAGTGAGGGATTAACTATACCTCTTCAAAGAACCATATCGTCAGTTGACTATCTTGCTTTAATCGAGGCTCAGAATGCTTCTTGTATTGTACATTTTGGTTGCGGTACATAAAAGCCTCCAGTTCTTCTATAAGCCTCATTTGTATGGGTGGGAGGAATCTTTGGGGTTTTTTTTTGTTTTTTCATTAATTCAGTTAGAAGGCTGAATAAAAAAAAAAAAAAGACCTGACTGTGTTTTAAAAAACGTGCCTTCCATGAATGAATTGGCCTTACAGGTTTCCTTATATTTGGACATGTGGTCTTTGCTGAATGGCAGGATCAGAGTTTAGAATGGATCACAATCCCTTAAAGCAGAGATCATTTGAGCAAAAAATTAAGCTTTTTGTCTAGTGACCCAGCAGTAGGGAGGTAGCCTAGAAACAGCATTCTTCCAAGACAGGCAAGTTATTCAGCATTTTGCTGCTCATTTATTCATCACAAGAAGTTGCGGGAACAGACTGAAGACATAAAGTACAATAAGATCTTCTTCCTAAAGAACACATCATCTATTTAGCCTGCTTCCCATTATGAAAGATGCAGCCAAAGAAGTTAGGTAGTTGCATGACTCTTGAATTAAATTATTTCCACTAAAAACTGCAGTAAAAGGTTTTCTCTCTACTCATACCTGTAATAGCGTCAAATGTCTATGTGTGTGTATTGATTAATATCATGATAAATTGTGTTTAATTTTAAAATGATCTCTAAATGTTTTCTAAAGACCCATCTAAATGAACGTTTTTACAGCACTGTCACTGTTGATTCTTACACAAACTTTATACCTTACACCACTGATCCTAACCTTTAGAACAAATTCCTAGTATTTTATGGATGGTAAACTTGGGTGGGAGTTGGAGCTGAAAGCGCGGCTGCAAAGCAATGAACCCAGTCCTTGTACAGCCATTTGTTTGAATTGTTGATTTTAACCTGCATGCACAAGAAATCAAACCATTAGACTTTGTTAAGTTGATACCTTTTCTCTTTTCCCTTTGCTAGCACTGCATTTCTGTTTTCCACTTTCTTTGGCCTAACCTAACCTATGCTTGTTATGCATTTGTGCATGTACAAATTAAGGGGGTTTTGCTCTTAACTTTGGTAGTTCAGAAATGGGGCACAGATGAAGTGGCAGCTTGGCTGGATCTGCTCAGTTTGGGAGAGTACAAAGAAATCTTCATCCGTCATGACATCCGTGGTTCAGAGCTAGTACATCTGGAAAGGCGGGATCTTAAGGTATTTCCTTTGTGCTACTTTTTCCGCTCTCTAAAAATTTCCTTGTTGGAATTAAACCTTTTTCCTGTCCCTTTTCTTGTGATGTGCTTGTAGCTTGGCTTCAATTACAAATTCTGTGTAAACGAATCTGCACTGTTCTGTGGCCTGCACTCCCTCTGTGTGACACTGCAATTGCAGCCTACACCATCAGCAACACTTACAGGAACACAACTCTTGTAGGCTGCTTTAAGACCGATGCGGAGTGGTTTGACTGCAGCTTGCCTGTATGTTTTGGAGCAGGTCATTTGCTCTTTGCCATAGCTATATTGTGTCCTGTGGTTTTGGTGTGCTTTCTGAAAGCTCGCCATAACTCCTGCATGTTGTGTCTTTGGTGCACTTTCAGAAAGCACACCAAACATGCAGGACATAATATAGCTCTATGGGAAAGCGCAACTAACCCACTCCAAACACGCAGACAAGCTTTGTTTCTGTCGAGCCGCATCGAATCCGTCTGAAAGCAGCCTAATATGATTGGTTCTAAATATTTTCACATCCATCAGATGGCTTGATAATCATACACCAAGTAAATTATTTGTTGTATATTTGAAAACAAAAACTGTATCACAGATACAATGGGATCAGTGTTGAAGGTTACAAATAAAACATTTAGTGTTTTTCATTTATAAGTCGCGTAACATTTTCTTATTGGTGTACCACAGGGAACATTTTTGTTGTTCTGATTTTACCATTGTGTTCACCTTATGCATCTATTTCATGGAAGCCAAGCATGCTCATTGTTTAGTGACGCCATTCTCATCCCCTTTACAACCTCATATGTTCTGCTTGCATGCTATATAGCAGTCAAACTACTACTATCTAGCACCTTTCTTCCCTTGTTGTTGGTCATAGCAACCTAAAGGGAAAAAAATGGACACCTGCAGTGAGAGAAATATGGAGGCTGCAATTGCTGGCATTCTTATATAAATGCTAGTATCCTGGCTGTTGTAAATGAATTCAGGCATTACAACCATTTTCATTGCTTTTAATGATTTGTGGTGTTTAGCCATAGATAAATCTGATCAGATGGTTTGGAAGAATTATGTGGAACAATTTGAAAGCAATCGTTTTCAGTTTTTGTTTACTTTAACCAATAAATCTTAGACATTGAGCCACAGTTCACATTGTTGCACTGCAGTAACATGCCAAAATATACATTGGTGCCATTCATTCTTAATGGCTTTTTAACGCACTTTGTCAATGCACCACAACACATGGTAATACAACAAGCATGCTCTGTGTTGTGCTAAATTACATAAGAAGTACGTATGCATTTATCTTAAAGGTACCTTTAGAATATGTTTCACCCATTATTAGGCATAACAGGGTTTTTTTTTAATGCTTTTGGCAGACCTTTCAAAAGAATAGGCTGCCATTATGCATTGCATGTTAAAGCTTAAAATAATGCTGGTTAGTACATTACAACAGCGTGAACCCAGCCTAAAAGTAATTGGAGTTGGTGCAGCCACAGTTACTATTTTGTTGCATCTGGCTATGATTTTAGCCATTCTAACAATTAAAAAGAACTAGATCGAACAGATGGCATGAAAAATCTGTGTGTGAATAAAACCCTAACCTGCAACAAGCATCCAGATTGGAAAGAGTGGAGTCAGAACTGTAATGTACAGATCTGTTGATGTTCATTGACTCAAAGTATTGAACATCTGGATCGGCGTTCTTTGCCAGGCAACTATTTTCACATGGAAAGTTAAAGTTTTAGTAAACTGTTTAACTTAAACCTACAGGTAAGCCTATAATGAGGCTTACCTGTAGGTGCAGTATATATCTCCTAAGTGTGCATAGTTTAGGAGATATTTACATGTGTAGCAGACGGTGACATGACTGGCGCATGTGCACTGCACCTTCAGTGGAAGGCATGCTATGCTGTCCGTTGAGAGAGCTGTGCATCATGATTCGACCAGTCAAGTTGCCAGAGCCTACAAACTCAGAAGGAAGACCAGATGAAGATGGATTTCCTATCAGAAGTGACAGTGTGCCGCTGGAGGGATCCACTTTTTAGGTAAGTTTGTCATAATGTGCTAGTATGCTGAGCAACAATCTTAGTAAGTGAAAGATAAAGTATGCTATAAATGCAGCATAATTTATTAAAAGTACAGTATATACAAAGAGTATTCATACTCAATATGTCAGCATGATCATAGATGCTGGTAAAATATGTGGATGACATAAGCCTTTTAACCCATGATTATAAATATTACAATTTTAAGGCAATAAACAGAGCAAGAGAAAGATGTGCCAAAAGGAGGTTAATAAAGTGCTGCATGTGCATACTAGCTGCTAACATTTTATGTGCAACGTAAGCACTGCAAGTGTTCACAATTTGCATAGAATGCCAGCAGCAAATGAAAATGGAGCTTATGCAAAAATATAGCAGCCAAGAAACTTGGCACTTGGCCACACAATTAAAACTGAAATTAAGATTGAAAAAAAATAACCCTATATCTTTAGTCACATCTGTTACCTCAAATAAAATGTCCCATGTTGTGCAGACAGCTGGATCTTGGAGAAATCTTCACTGAACAGATGCCCATGCTCTTCCTGTCTCTAAATGTCCAGCACTGCAATGGTTAACAGCCTCGAGCAGAACAGTATTACAGATGGTCCAAAAGGAACTCACCCCCTCCTTCCCCCTCCATTGAAAAAAGTTCTTTCATTGATTACCCTAGTTGTAACACGATTGGTAAATGGAGAGTCTGATCAGTCACATGATTCTCTCCTTCATTCACAGTGTTACACACAGTGAAGATTTCTCCAGGATCCAGCTGCCTGCACAACATAGGACTTCATTACAGGTATACTGTAGTTTCAGACCAAATTGAATTTTCTGGTCTGTATCCTTTCTCAAAGTTCACCCAAAGAAAAATGTTAGGGACTTTCCTTTACAATTTGGCCTGTATGCTTGTATAATCTTGATTTTAGGCTCCTATCATTGTTTATATGATGTGCTAGTACTGTTGTACTTTGTACATGCTGCTGCTAAACTTTTCATATTTTGTGCATCCTGTCCTGCTTTTTTTTTTTTTTTTGCATATTTTTTGGCAGCTGTTTTGCAATCGCAGCACGTCTTGGGATCTTTTGGCAAAGCTTTTAACATGTTATGTCCTCCTTTTGCTCTGTTTTACTATCTTGTAAATGCTGATCATTTAAATTAATAGTCCTTGAGAGCCTTACTGTATATTATGTTAATCATATTTGAATTTTGATGAATTTATGTATGTTTGCCTGCACATATATAAACAAATTATGCTGCATTTCATGGTGTGGGCTTTACTTTGATCTGTTAGGACAAACCTGAAGAAATAAAGTTATCAAAAAAATGTTAACCTCCAACAGACTGTAGTTATTTCAGTGATTACATTCAGTATTTGATCAAGTTTACCATGCAAATGTATGCTATTTTTATGTACAGAACTTTGTGGGATTCATTGTCCGTTAGAGACCTCTGTAGTTTAGAACTTAAAGCGGAACTACACTGCATCTGAGTGCCACAATCCAAAAACACTATTTAATTAATTTTTAAAATTCAAAGCAAACTCTCCCATCCTTTCATTTATCCATGCTTTATTTTGCTGAGAAATCACTTTGAAGAATACCCCCCTAGCATTCTGTCCGTGGCCATCTTGAGTACAGGCAGATGATTCATGTAGCATATGTTTCCTGGAAGCCGTCTGCCTTTAGCTCAGGCATGCAGCTAGGAGGTTGTCCTTAGCTGAGAAAACTCATCCTTCCCTCCTAAAGACTCCTGTGATGGATGATATAATTTGCTCTGGCCTGAAATTCAGGTGTTAACTGAACAAATGTAGAAAAAAAATATTTAAAACAAATAGTAAATAGATAGGAAGGTATATTATAAACTAATGCTAGCAGCATAAAGATTAAAAATAGTCAATGTTGATTGAGAGAGTGAAGTTCCGCTTTAATATATGTTGTTTTGAAAAAGTATTCATCTCCCTTGAAATTTTTCATATTATGTTATAACCAAAAACGTAAATGTATTTTATTGGGTTTTTATGTGATAGTCCAGCACAAAGTGGCACATAATTGTGAAGTGGAAGGAAAATAATGGTTTTCAAAATGTATTATAAATATCTGAAATGTGTGGCATGCATTTGTATTCAGCCCCCTTTACTCTGATAACCCTAACTAAAATCTAGTGGAACCAATTGCCTTCAGAAGTCACCTAATTAGTACATAGAGTTCACCTGTGTGTAATTTAAAGTGTTACTAAGGACCCTGCATTCCCAATATTTGGTCTCCCACAGAACATGGAAGTGCAATTATTTTAGGAAATGTAAACTACCTTTGTTCATTAGCAGTTACAGCAGTCTTCTGACTTTTATCAGTGTCCAGCCAAGCACTGGTTAAAGCTTGTAGAAGGAGTTTTCATATTACTCTAGGAGGATGCGGAACCCCTGACCTCTGTCTGGACAGTGCTGATTGGCCCTGTGCTGATCACATGCACTCTCTCATACCAATCTGAGCATATGCAGAATGACTCCGCACAATATGTCTTATCAGGAGATGAGGGGGACACTGGAAGAAGCGGAGGATCAGAGTCAGGATCAAAACCACGTTTTTACACAATGCAGAGGATTAACCCCTTAGGTTCTACAGTAAATATAACAAGCATGCTTTACTGCATATACAGACTGATTTTACTTTTGTGGGTTTAGTAACACTTTAATCTCAGTATAAATACAGCTGTTCTGTGAAGCCCTCAGAGGTTTGTTAGAGAATATTGGTGAACAAACGGCATCATAAAGACCAAGGGACGCACCAGACAGGTCTGGGATAAAGTTGTGGAGATGTTTAAAGCAGGGTTAGGGTATAAAAAAAAAATATTCCAAGCTTTGAACATTTCATGGAGCACTGTTCAATCCATCATCCGAAAATGGAAAGAGTATGGCACAACTGCAAACCTAGCAAGACATGGCCGTCCACCTAAATTGACAGGCTGGGTAAGGAGCGCATTAATCAGAGAAGCAGCCAAGAGGCCCATGGTAACTGTGGAGGAAATGGGAGAATCTATCCACAGG